ACTGACTGAAACTGTGATCATGATTCTGGTTACTATATACTAGACATTCGGATATATTATCTTTAAATTATTTTCTTTCATATACCGGAAGAGGTGTTTTATATCGTTGATTGAGTTTAATGAGTTCGATATTGAAAGCTGCAGTTCCGCATACAATGCTTTAAAAGGGCTTCGTTTGATATACTTTTCATATAATTGCCATATATGAAACCAAACAGTTCAAAATATTCATTAAGTGCTTTGAATCGAGAGTCGGTAACATTTTTCGAGCTCCTGTGGGAGCGAGGCCTAGCGTCGCCACTGATGGCGGGTCTCATAATGCAAACACTTGAATCTAAAGAGAATCCTACAAAGAGAATGAGGGCAATTGTAGCGAAGCATCTAAATTATTTATCTGGTGAAACCATGTGGTGTGTCACAGTAATTTATAAAAACAATATATGAACAGATTGCATTTTTAATTGAATTAACTCTATATATATATCATTCATAAGTTAAAATATAATATCTGTCTCAACTATTTTGACTCGCAGTGTACTTACGCGTACATGAAGATGAGATTTAAATATACTTAAATAAAATTAAAAGTATCTCATCGCATATAACATGCAAAAATACCAAAATTATATGGCAAAGCGACAAGACAAATACAAAATGCATCTGTGCATGAAGCTCCACATATGCACATATGCACACATACACACAAAAACTCTGGAAGAAACTAATACATAAATACTCATACTCACACTCACACTCATGCACGCAATACTTAGACACTTGCCATATATTGTAATTTCCATAAAATTTGCATATTAAATGCAAAATATACGCAAAGACTTTTGTATATGCGATTTTACATCCTTCTCAGCGGTACAAGTGCATCTTAGTTTGCGGTTTCTTTTAAGTATCTGAAAGCGTCAACTTCATACGCCCATGTGTAGGCAACAGTGCAACTGCGAAAGCTGAGTTTAAAGCCGCAACTTTGCTGTTGTGCATTTTTTCGTTGCATGCAGTCGTCGAGTCGCATGCTGTGTCCAAAAACCCTAAACAATGCCTACATACCAACGACTGAATATAAAGTGCATGTCCTTCACTCCTACTAAACAAACAAAATACTTTGCATAAATAAGTATAAGACAAAATCCTCAAGAAACCGCTGTGTGCGCTTTCAGATAGCAAAAGGGAAAAAATCATCCTTCAAGACCCAACAGAACCGCAACAAAACCGCAACAACTTCAGTGCAAGCAAAATATTTAAAGTGCAGCGCACATATACATTTATATATTTTCACTCACACATACAAATATTCTATTGCTTATACGCGTATGTGTTTATTTGACTGAAAACATATTGTATTTTTATTTTGGTACGACCACGACCGCATACGTACGCGTTTGCAAGAGTGAAAATTTTGCAAATTTGGCTGTTGCACTTCGCCAACTCGAACTTTTTGGAACTTGTCATTTGCGCGTTAATATTTCACGAAAATTTATTTCACACTTTTCCACTTACATACACTTACACATACTCACCGGAAATACACATATACACATACACTTAGGGAAGCAAAATGGCACACACTTAACGCATCTATTATATGCAACGGATTGCAAGTGCTTAACTGCTGGGATTAAAGAAGTAACGTCAGGTATAAAGGATTGTGTATAGTGGAAAAAAATAGATAACTATAATAATCTTCAAGTGGGTAGAATTTTATGAAAGTTTTCAGGTAAAAAGACCAAACAATACTACACTTAAACTTTAACATTATTACATACTTACTAAGTTAGATAATAACAGACATGAATCGTCCTTGGTGGCGTCCAATAGCCTTCACCAGGCAACCCGATCAGTGGCTTGCTGTCGCCAATTGGTAGTACCGAGCGCTCCTATATTGTTAGTCAACTGGTGCTTCCATCGAAGATACGGACGTCCTCTACAGCGTTTTCCTCTAGCGAGCACCGAATCAAACTCTTTTCTAGTCGTACGACTATTTTTCATTCACATGACATGACCAAGCCAACCAAGCTACTGAAATTTAATATGCTTAACTATGTCAATATTAACAAGAATAGCAAAGGTTAGCAACTCGCCTTCCCGGAAAAATTTTTAAAGGGCATCACAATGGGCAATATATGCCTCCGAGTGGATGTGCTGGCAACTGTCAGAGTGCGCCTTCTGAACCTAACCCAACTATGACAATGTTGCGGTATAGCGCATCACTGTATCTAATTTGATACTCGCTGCCAACGCATTAGGGACTCTCGATTTTCCTAGAAAATTTATTTAACATATATTAAATATATTATTTTATATATTATATATATTATAAATATATTATTGCCGTAGAGGAATTTCTAAATACATAACTTAAAAAAGAGAGTAAGGTCCTCATAACACTGCTCTCTGCATTTCAGTATATAAATGATAATAT